CCGAAATTGCCGAATGCCTTCATACACCAGCCTTTTCTGAGAGCCCGAGAGTCTATTGATTACCAATCCTTGCAGAGTCAAATCTCCATTTCCATTCCATTCCATCTCCATAGATCGTAATCTCCATCGAACCTTAATCTAGACGCTCCCAAAGGAGAGGCTTCCCCATTGACCCTCATTACGAAATCAATTTAGGAAGCAAGGAAGGGCACTCGCATCGGAGTGGAGTACCTTCAATTACCATTTCGGTGTCCCGCATAAGTCTGAAGGATTTCTTCCCAGGCTCTTGGATACACCCACTGCTCTCGCCCAGGAACGGAGAGCTCTTCATTTAAATTGGATTTGTCGATCATACGTATTCAGGAATTGCGATTCAATTCAATGCGATGCGGAACTCCCTCTCCCTGTCGATTCTCGCCTGCTGGTACCCACATAAAGTACTCGTAGAGAGCAGACCCACGTTGCAGATCGAATGGGAAGGAAGTCGACAGGCGGCTGTCATTAACTCTGTCAATTAACATCCATTTTAGAGCCAAGGATACCCCAAAAGTGAGAGGACACCCTCCTGCCCGAACGGTGGGAAAACACACAATGCAATCCTTTATTTTCCCCTTGAAGGGGGATAGATCTCCAGATGGGGTTCCCATCGGATCTCGGATTGGATTGCATGCATGTTTTCTCTCGTTTTTCCACAATTTTTAATTAGCAGTAAACTTTGCGCGCGGCATTCCACATTTCCACTTTTCCACTTTTCCCCCGAACAAAACCAAAGAAGAAAAGAAAAGGAGAACCGAACCGAACCCGAACCCGAAACCAATTCGATTCGAAACTGAACCAAAAGTAATGACAACATAAATACTTTTGCCGCTTCTAAAGTGCGGTGTTCGGTGGTGTTGTATGTTGCATGTAGTATGTTGCACGCTGCAGAAGTGCTGGTGGTGGTGGTAGTGCTGTGTCGCGATGGTCGATGGTGGTGCCGAGTGATGCACAATGGGGTCGCCGCCGCTGCTGCCATGCCACCAAAATCCCAATCGAAAACTCAAGTGTTCGGCCCGTTTTTGTGGCTGCCCCCTCAGCCCCTCACCGCCTCACTCTCCCAGTCCTTTGGCTCATTTCGTTTAACACTTTATGTGACAGTTAAGTGCAGGGAAATGTCAAATTTTCTCGGCCCTAAATGCTTGTACAGCCAACCGCCGGATCGACACCGACCCCTCCTCGAAAAGGGGGCAGGGCTGGCAGAGGCCCAGTCAAGTGTTTGGCCTCGAGGGGAGATCTGTGGGAACCCCTACGCCCCTCCGCTCCAAAAAGAAAAGTCTCCTCTTTTCTGGGGATTGGCTATGGGAAGAAGTTCAAGACGAACTTATGGCTACGGTTACGGCTACAATTGGGGTTCCTCGAGTAATACTTTCAGGGTTTAACCTCAAAAGTGTGTCGGGATCTAGATCGAGTGCTTGTGATGTATTTCATCATTGACAATCCTAAGTATTTCTTGGGATACGATGGAGAATGTGTGGGAATGATGTTCTGCTGTAGAATTTCATGGATTCGGAACTAAGGCTGATTCCTGACAGTTTTCTATGCGGAATCCTTCACGGTTTGGCCCTTAATAGAATGAATAGAATAGAATGAAACAGTAGCCTCATTTTAGAACGATATTTTCGAAGAGTGTTGGGAAGATTCTGTAAATTATTCCTCAAATAGAGTATTTTCTTTATGGATTTCTAAGTCTTCCATGTAATTCTTTAGGTTTCAGCCAGCAAGTGTACCAAAATCTATGGATCTACTTTAATTGCAAACGCAAGATCATCTTTAAGTTCTTTATAGAATATTTTTGGCTGATTTTGGACCACAGAAACAATATAGTTTCTATGAATCGCTCTGGGAAAAAGACCTAGCTAATTTTAGCACTTTTTCTCTGTATGAGAAGATTTGTGGAATCTTTGGAGAGCGTTTTCTTCCCCAAAAAGAGTTTCCTCAGTACGGATTAAACAGGGAAGTATATATCTTTCAGTCACTGGGGAGCCTTATATGATCTTTAAAGAATAATCGTAAAGTGTAAAGGAAGGTTTTTCCATCACAAAAAGTTCTCTAAAATCACTCTAAGGATTGCTGGGAGTGCTTCCCTGATGATGTGTAATCCTTTCAACCTCAAAAGTGTGCCAACATTTATTTACTGTTATTTCATTGACAACCCTAAAAACATCGTCATAATCACCGTCATCGTCCCTTTGGGGATCATCATCATCGTCATTATCTGTTTTCATAACTGTCAATTGTTGACTCTTTCAATCGATGCATTTGAATGTCTGTCAAACCATCCTTGGTCCTCGAATTTCCATCCTTTTCCATTCACAAAATCAGCTGGGAAACGGTCCTTGACAGTTACAAAGAGAGAGAGGGAGAGCAAGAGAGAGCTAACGGTAGGGGTAGAAAGAGAGACAGCATTTGAGGCACGTGTGCGTGCAGCATGGTGTGGCATTGATTTTGTGGTTCGTTCGTTTGCCTTTTTGTTGGACTAAGCAGCCTAACGGTTTACCTGAAATATCAATGGGAGGGAGAGAGGCAAGGAGAGTAGGAGAGAGAGAGAGAGTGCACCCGCATATAGTTTGTGGTGGAAAAACTTTACCGTTTCCCCAAGATCGGAATTCTGTAATTTAATATTTTATGGCCTTTTGTTTGCTTTACGCAAAAACTGTTTGCTCTGCATTCGACTGAAATTAACGAAAAATTGAAACAGATACGAAGATACTCACAGAGAGGGGGGTTGGAGGGGCAGGAGCAGGGGGCAGCACACGTCACTTGCCCCCAGAACTCGGAGCGGAGAGCGCAGAGCGCAGAGCGAGAGACCTCAGCTGAGCAAATACTTGAGATACTACGGAGCACAATACACACATAGGTTGGAGATACACTCCTCGTCCTTCAGTCCAGGATGTAACATTAGCCGCTAAAAGGTTAAGGCAATCTCAGGAGCCCCCTCCCCTCCCGCCTCTCACGCCCTTCCCTGGACATGAACCGTGGATGCGCCAAAGTGAAGCTAATAAAAATTGTAAAAAACGAGAGATTGAAATTGAAACAATATTTAAAGTATAAGAATAATACAAAATCCCATTTGGCCGCCGGCTGCCCGCCCAACGAAAACAATAGCAAACACACAGCAAAAGGAGCACGCGCTTCCAGCGGGGCAGGGCAGGGCACCCATTCCATTCCCCGATTCCAGGACTCTGATTCGGATTCTGATTCAGATTCAAACGAGCGGCGAACGACCGGGTTTACCTTGATGCGGCCGCCGCATCAGCGGACAAAGTGAACAAACAAATAAGCAAATGAACGCTCGTCCAAAAAGCACAATAATACAACAGCAGCGAAAAAAACTCACAGAAAAAGCAGGGAGTCACGGCACACAGGCAGCGGCAGCAGCAGCAGCAGCAGCAGCAGCAGCGACAGCGGTAGAGGTAGAGGAGGGACGCACCAGATTGTGGCACGCGTCGGGCGACCTACCACAGGGGGAGGGAGGGAGGACAAAGGCAACAGCCAGGACTCGCGGCGAGGCGAGAGGCGGCGAGCAAGCAATCGAGCAGCAAAATCACAGCAGCAGCAACGACAGCAGCAGCAGAGCCAGGAGTCTGTCACAGTGGGACGAAACATGGGAAGAAGTTGATGAAAATTGGGAACTTTCTTCCCGAATTGGGAAACTCTCCATACATTCATACGAGTCAATCTTTTGATTGCTGGCAATACTTAATGCTCCAACTGCATAATTTTGTTCCTCAAGCTCTTCTCCTAGTCCGCCTAGCCTCCTTGCCCCACTGTTCATTCGTTGCAACCAGCAAAAACGGGCGCAAAAACAAGTTTCAGTCACCTTTCGGCTTCGTTTTTTCTCCGTTGATTGGTGGTGGATTCCTTGGTCGGCAGTCAGACAGAAGACAAAAGTCAGTCACATGTGCAAGGACGAAGCAGAGGGCGGGGAACGGGACCGATGTCCTTCCGTCCACCTTTCTGGCAATTGCTCTCATCGGCGGCTGCTGCTGTTGTTGTTTTCACCTCAATTGCAGCAGCAGCAGCGGCAGGAACTGGAACTGGAATCGAGATCGCATTGTTGACATCGAATACCACGTGGTATTCCTTATTCCTTGTACCGTGGGGTAGTTTTACCCCCAGGATCAGCCCCGAAGCAAGCGCCGGGTGATGCTGCCGCTGCCGCTGCTACCTTCGGTTTGTTGTAAGGTTTGTTGTAAGTAATCACCGTCATCATCATCATCAGCAGCATCATCGCAGCAGCGTGGAATGGGAGTGGGGATGTGGTGTGTGGTATGTGGGATGTGGGATGCGATGGGCGGCGTCAAGGACAACTGGCGACAACATGTGCGTCATCGTCGTCGTCAGCGTCGCTGTGCCACGTTTACTCATTAGGTTTCCCGAAACGATTTTCTATTTTTTGCTGCGAAATTATTTTTGCGAAATTGCGCAGGAGATTCGCCTTGGGTGCTGCTCCGCGTGGCACGACGCTGCGGCGTGGGATGAAGCGAGCGTCCATCCGGGGGTAGCTTTTACAGTGGCAGCACACCTTTCCCCCCTGCCTGCTGTTGGCCCTATAATAAGAGTGTGTGTGTGTGTGTGTGTAGCATTTGTGGCAAGGGGGAGGCACACACACACACACACTCACGCACACAACAATCGGGTGCACCTTTATCGACTTTCAGCCGGGTGCGTGCAGAGATTTAATGATTAACGCTGAATGAGGCAACTGCCTCGCCAGTCCTCCAATCCACTGTCCACTTAAGGGCTGCAGAAATAATCGCAAATGAGGGGAAAATCAATGGGAAATCGAAGTGGAAATGCTCTAGGAAATCGTATAGGAGCTTGGAGGACACGAAAATCAGAGATAAAGAGTCTTGGGACTCTCTTAATGGAAAGTTTTTCTACAGATGGATATATTTTTAAGTCTATATCTGTCTACAAGCCATCTATAACGATCTTCTATCTTTCTTTTTTCCCCTCAGGCCAAGATTTCCTATGGATCGACCAAAATCTTTCAACCCCCAGGAATCTAGGTAGGAATACAAATTGATTTTTTATATTTATATTTCTGTGCTTTTATTATTTTTAAACCGATTCGGGTTCGAGTTCATTATCAAAGTGGTGCTGGTTCCTTTGGGAATTGCGGTCTGACGCAAATCTGAATCGTTTGAAGATTCTGAGAAATCCAGACATTTGTGATATTTATGTTTGGGAATTGGATTAAAGGTAGTCTGGGGCACAGAAAGATTGAATGATCTCCAGGGAACTGTACTCGTAAATGGAGCAAAGGAAAGAGTGATCGAAGAGGAATGAACGAAATCATTTTATGAATTTTGGTAGAGAGAACTTTGATCTTTCGATGGACTTGGAGGAGTATATATTATAAATCTGTAGATATTTCATTCATTCACTGAAGCAATGCTTTATCCATTCATGGATTCATTGTCCATAGCCTCCCTTTGTTAGGGTATAAAAAGCAATAAAAATAATTTTCATATGCACTGCTGTTGCTGCCTGTCTGATATAAAAGGTAAATAAATATCCTGTGGAGAGACCTGGACATTCACCATATCTCTCTCTCCCTTTCTCCATGTGTTTATCTCTGAGTGGCATTTTCGCTGGAGAGAAGGTAGCTCCATGCAACAGCAGCAGCAGCAGAAGCAGCCGCAGCAGCTGGAGTCCGACGACGCACGTTGGAAACGGATGCCAGCCAAAGTGCCGGAAGTGCGGAAGTTGCCGCAAAGTATGCAATGACTTTTGTGGCACGAGAATGTGGCAATGGACTGTTAGGGGTAGGGTGGAACGTGGCAGGGGGGAGTGTGTGGACCTGATCTGATGACTAGTTTTGGGCATACGATACGATGCGATACGAGATTGCCCCGCATTCGGACAGCCTTACCTAGGCATTTACCTCTGAGTCGAGTCCTGCTGTTCCTGCCGTTCCTGCTGCTGCAGCTACTCATGTTCCTGTCCTGTTCCTTTCGCCCGTATGTCAGCATTTTGCCATTCGCTAATCTGTCACGCTCGGTGCTGCCACCCCTCCTACTGCTCCTCCTCCTCCTCCTCCTCCTGCTGCAGCATCGTCCCAGTCCCAGTCCCGTTGCTGGCTGGGCTTTGTTCCACCTTCGGGCCTTGGGCCTTACCTGAGCGCGTGCACCACTCCACACTCCTCAGTCCACAGTCCGCACACCTACCCCGAAGCCCTCGCCCAGATCAGCCCGTCATCAGCCCCTGGACGGGCAACCCTCTTCATTTACGGTTTAGCATAATGAAAAGTTGCCGATGATGAGGCCCAGGGAGAGGGCGAATGCAATTTGGGGTTGCAAAGCGATACGCGATAGCGACACACGGGGGTTTTAAGCGCGACACCTTAGCCAGGACTCGGGACTCAGGGCTATGGGAGGAAGCCTGCAGCAGCGTACCAGCATTAATCCTTCTGTAGCTCGTTCCCCCTCTCTGTCTCTCTCGGATTTTTCGCAATTGTTCAATTGTTCATGCCGCAAAGCGCAGACCAGGACACCGGGATGCAGGACCCCTTCGAATCGTAAGGGTGGTCGAGCGATGCCTCCTGCTTTTAGGGCACATTTGTAGCCAGATTTCGATTGTGATTGATTTGCTTTGCAGCAGACCTGAGGCACTGTTCTGATGCTCAGATGTTCGGTTGTTCTGCTGTTCCGACTATTATGAATTATGAGCTGAACCGAAGGCCAAGGTGTGGCCCAGAGCCCATAAGTCGAGCGTCGGAAGTCAAGTGGGGCGGGTGTGAGGGAGTGGGAACGCTACATGAGAGCAATACTTCATAGAAACCCTTTAAGAGACAGAGATTCTATGGCAGAAATGGCGTATATTTAGCTAATTTAATAGGGAAAGCCATGATTGGGAGTTTCTCTTGGTTGTTTATAGAAATTCGACTGCAGAAATGTGTGTTGGAGGTTCCATTTTATGAGTATCTAATATCTTCTGCAAAGGAAATTACTTCAACTTGAAACCTCTTCAGTTGAGAAACTCTTATGATGAGTGTGGAAATCCACAAATGAATGGAGCAGCAATTGCAAAAGCCTTATATCTACGAGTATCTTGGATACACCTAAAGATACAATATTCTTATATTTTAGAATATTTTCATATTTTCAAATCGAAATTCCTCTCATTTATGCATCGCAATCTTCTCAGAAAACCTCGAATACTCGTGCTCGCACCCCATAAAAGGGCTGGCAAATAATAATCCAATTCACAGATACAATTGTATCTCGACTAGAGTATCTTTCAGCTCTCAGCTGTCTCTAACCCTTTCTCCACCCCCTTCCCCCTGTTGTCTCTCCAGAGCCAATCCTTTCTCTAGCGAATTCGGGGGCTCAAGCCTTTGACTTTGTTTTTGTTCTGCTGGCATCTCAAATGCTGCCTGACAGATGGCATGTCCTGCAGCCTCCTCCCGTGAATGTGGCATGCGGCATGTGGCAGTGGCAGTGGCTGTGGCACGAGTATCTGCTGGATATGGATACGCATTGACTGCATCCTTCTGTGTGTGTTTGCTCCTGCTCCTGGCACACGTTCGCTCCGGAGCTTCTTCTGCAGTTTTTTGTGTGCGTTCACCTTTTTTGCTGATTTCTGTGTGGAAAACGGGGCGTGGCTGGGCTGTCAGTTGAACGGGTGGGCGGCCAGCAGATTGGTTTTGTCTGCAGTTTTTTAGAGCAGCGCAGAGCAGAGCTGTTCCTGTGGGTATGTCCTGTGGTCGTGCTCAACATTTATGGCACAGCTTTTTGCCCGCAGGAAGGGAGAGGATCTGCAGAGGATGAGCAGGAAATGGCTCATTGCACTTTGGCTACACTGAAAAGGCATTTAAGGCGCATTTCCGTATCGATGGAGAGGATGGAGGGGGTCGAGAGGTGAGAGGAGAGTAGAGCTACTTCAGTGGCTCTGCTCCGCATAACTCAATTGGATTTCGGGGATTTTGGGCCACAGAAAAGGGGTTGGACGGACGAACGGATTGTTCGATAGGTAAACCGATTCGAACAGGCAGGCAGGCGGGCAACCCTCGAAAGCTTGCGCCCTCTCATCCGCTAATGACCCTCGACCTGGCATCGAATGATAATGCAGAAATTGAAAAAATATATACCATGTACTCGCACAAAAAGAACTCGTTTCGTTTAGTGGTGGTGGCTAAGGCCGCAAAACCGGGGCCGGGGAAAACTTCGAGAGAAAAAAGCGACACAAAAGGAAGAATTTAAATTAGATTAATTGATTGAAATGCGCGGCGACGAACGAGACCCGGATCTGCCCTGCAGCCGGTGGCTGGCTGTAGATTGTCACAGTTGTTGCATGCCCCTGTCTCCCGCTTGGGTGTGTTTTGCAACTTGTTTTCCCTGTTGCTGTTCCTGTTGCTACCATCCGTAATGGTCTTAGCGGTGGTTCTTTGTAGCCGGAGGTGTAAATAATACGGCTTTTGTTAAACCAAGTGAAAGTCATCATCTGTCTACAGTTTTTCTGCAGACAGTCTGTGGTGGGTTCCAGCAAAAAAGTTGGTATATATATTCTTTATTGAATTATAGATGAGAGTGGAGCGGGGAGGGAGTGGGAGGCAACACTTGTAATCTAATAAAAACTATTTACGGTCCAGCGGAAACATGCACTCGGAACAAAGATACTTATTCGTGGAGAAGGAGTTGCCCTGCTTGGATGATTTTTTTCCTGGGGAGAATATCTCATGATTGGCTTTATACGGAAACAAATTGGTACAGGATTTGATGTGGCTATATAGAACAGAGTGCTCTACCCTTTAGAGGGTCATCATTTGGTTGGAGTCGCATAATTGTAAAGATTTTCGATAAATATCGACAATCGATTAACGATATATTTATCGTTTAGTGGTAGATGTATCTATCAAGGATGGTCGATTTGTCGTTCAACGATGCTTAAGCCTACTTTTGTTCCACTTATCGATTAATATTTCGATTAAAATGGTAATGGATTGATTAGTTCCCAACGGAATTTTTCAAAATATTTTATAACAATTTCCACTTAAGGCGGAAAATATTTAAATTTATTATTTTGCTCAGAACGCAATCGATAAAAAATCGCGCATTTATTCGGAGTTGACTGCTATTTTGATAACCCCAGGATTAATTGATTGATTGCATGGATCCACAGCGCAAGTATTCAGTGACTTTCCACCGATAAAAGTGTGTAATATTCCCCGCCATGTGATTTATCGCCTCGGTTCGATACGATTCGATTCAGTCTTCCATTTGGCTGGGGCCTAATAAAGCGCTCAACGCCAATAAGCCGCCACATGTTGCAAGCCTTGCTTTTTGTTCCCTTTTTATTTTTTCAGGCTTTCTCTCTTTCGGCGGCAGTTCATAAAAATGACGCGTCAAAATTAATAAAATAAAACGACACCGAAAAAACTTCAACTTGAAATGTTTCAGTTTTTTTTAATGTTTTTTTTTGTCGATTTTTTAACTGTTTCGGAAAACACGCGTGTGCGTGCCTGAAGCCGCGCCAGAGTCCAGGCTTAAATGCAGATGGAGAACGTATCTGTCGGATGCATTTTGGGGCTGTCTCCTCCTCCCGCCCGGCACATGTGAAACGGTTGCTGCACTCCACTCTCCACTGGGCCTGCCCCACTGCCTCTTTCCCTGTATGTTGCCGCTGCAAAAGTTATTAATTTTAATTGACTGTTGTGTAATGTTGTCGCTCTTCGAAAGCACAGCACGGCCCTGCACGGTACGGTACGGTACTGCTGCTGGCGGCACATTCCGGCCGACACTTCGACAGCCGCCACTTCACATGCCCTCGAAGAAGAAGTCAATGTCCTGCTCGGTGGTGGGACGCGCCCCTCTTGTTGCAGTTGCAGTTTCAGTTCCAGTTCATGCCGCTCTGGATTGGCATTAATTAAACACTTTTGTGCACTGAAAGGAAGGGAATAACATGGTAATAAGTAACAGATAGTCACGAAAGAAAAGGTTAGAGACAGTGCTACAAACCTCAATCTTTACAAGGAAGCGCCTGATTGAGGTCCAATTTGTTCGGGAAT